TATTAAATTATTCTTATATATGCAAATGTTAAAATGAATATTAAACTAGCATGTTTAGTATTTGTAAAGTTGTATTTTAAAGAAAAGAAAGAACCATTATTATTAAAGACTATTATTAGGGCCATAGCACATAAAAAAACTTAAGCAGTAAAACGTAAGCAATAGTCAATTCAACGTATAATATTAATTTCCTTACTGCTTACATTTTACTGCCTTACGTTTTTTATATACCTTAGAGTCCATTATCATAATAATTTAAAAATGAATTAAAAATTTTAATTGATTTGAATTTTTAATTAATTGAAATTTTAATTCATTTAAATCATTAAAATGCATACTTTGGTAGTATTCATGATCTATTTTCATTCTTTTTTTAAAATTCAATGAGATGATAAAACTTTTTTTACATTCAATTGAAAAACTGCATTTCCTATTCAAAATTTTGAATTGAGCAGATTCAAAATACTGCATTTAAAAAACTGCAATCTTTTTAAGACTAAAGGACACAAAAATGTGCTTCATGCAATTTCTTTAAATGAATAAAAATGCATGGGAAAATGATTTGTTTTAACATTCGCAAATGTACTTCTGAAAATCATTTATACCATTTCAAATCATTCTCGTTTACTAAGATTAAAAATTATATTGACTGCATTCAACAGAGAAAATTGATCAGTGAACGTTCAATAAATTCTTTTATATTATCGGTTCTTGTGTTTAGTCCTTTGAGCGCTGGATTTAAGTATAAGAATTATGCTAACGTATGAATCATTGAACGCTCAGTTTTTTCTCTGCTGAATGCAGTCATTATTAAATCAGATACTCCTAGTCGTATTTCAAAGAACAATAATAGGCAGGATATGAATAATCCAATCATGTACTATCTATAAGAATAGTTTCAAGTAAAATTTAAAATAAAATTATTATAACTATATTTACATAATCCTCAAATTATAATCTTTTTTCCTATACATTAAATAACAAAATAGATAATATCTATTCAAATATTACTTACTTAATAATAGTGTATTACCAATTAATATTGATTTATTTTATTGAGTTATTAGATATATAAGTCATTAACGTATTAATTTTAGCATTGAACTCAATAAACTTATTTAATATTTTATGATTTTTTTTAATATCATAACATATAATTTTTGTTATTTCTCTCTTAATATCTTAAATTTTTAATAAAATTATTTTTAATCGGGTGAATAAAATCTAGTATCATTCATAAATAAATAATGGGAACTTCTGCAAATTTTATGGGCACCAAATATGGCATGGTAAGCAGTGTTAAATAAAATATTAATCTATATTTTAGGATAATAAAATCAAATGAAAAGTAAGATGCATGTTTCAATATTTAATTACAGTACTTTCTATTATCAGCATTATGTACACAGAATATATCCCAGTTTTTTATCTATTGATTTTAGAATATATTTAAATAAAATTTAGCTATTTTAGCACTAGTTGGAAAAAGAAAGAAATGTTATAAATATTTAAATATATTACGATAAACATAAATGTAAAAATCTATATTCACTTATTGAGATATTTAAATCCAAAAATAAAAGCCTTTCATTTTCATAATATAATTTTAATAATATAACGCTAAGAAGCTAAATTTAAAGCTACAGTTATACGTGAAGAAGCTAAAATTATATGGTTAGGTGTATACTCTCCTATAGCATACGAAATATTGCAGCAATATTGTAGCAATATTTTTTTGAAAGATTGTAATATTTCATAAACATTACAATATTATAGCAATATTATAGCAATATGTAAAATATAAATATTATTATTACGCAAAAATAAAATATTGTTTTAACATTATGCAATATTTCAATAATTATTCTAGTAATAATTATTGTATTAATTGTTAACATATTATTGTTTAGCATTATATTTCAAAATACATACAATAAAGTTATGATTAAAAAAAAGTTATGATCAAAAAATATTTGGAGGTCCAAAAAACACATCCAAGGCTATATTCCGATTCCCATTCGAGTGGCATCCAAATATTATGTTAAATACAAAACAAGATATTTAACATGATATGATACCCGGAGAATACCCGTGAGAATCCAAACACGCTTCAAAAAAGATTGAGAATTTCTAGGAGACTTGCTAACTCGATGTGCGTTGCGCAGGATTTTTATAGGATTCCTTCTTAAAGGATCCCTGGACATTTTCTTCTTACGAAAAGCGTATCCCTCTAGTGACGGGGTCGCATATTTATTTACTGAATTGTAATATATTGCAACAATATATTGCAATATTCTCTGCAAAATATTAAAATATTTTTTTTTACAATATTTTAGCAATATTTCGTGCTGTAGGAGCTTTTTCAGTTATAAATGTGTTTAGCTGGAAAATATATACATGTAATTTTATATTATCTAATTATAAGACCTAATTTGTTAAATTTTGAACAATAAATTATTATATTTTGTAATTTAAAAATCCTCAATAAAAATTTTAAATTTTTTTATTATTTAATAATCCTTTTTTAATTTTTCATTTTCTTCTTTTCCAAATAAATAACTTTAAAAAAAATAAAGAAAGAAAGAAAGAAATAAAGAACTTTAACTGGTTGAATTTCTTATGTCTTATGTGTTATGCGTTATGCAAGAGCTCTCCACTTAAAATTAAATTAACTTAAACGAGTCTTAAATCAGTATCAAATTGAATATTGAGATTGAAAATTGAAAGATTGAAATTCGACCAATCAAAACAAAAAAAGAGCTAAAATTTTTTTATTGGTTCTTATTGATCAAAT